AAGTTACACCATCACACTTAGTTTGGAATAAGACTTCAGTGAGTTTCTCTTTTAATTTGTACTGATCTTAAAATCCCTTTTTTCACGAGGCCCTTGCTTGATTATCAGGCAGTATATTACAACTTTGATTGACAAAAAAATAAAAATGCTTTATTTTTGACAGTTATAAAAAGTAGATACTTAAGGTTGTCCCGTTAATAAAAAAAACGATACAATTCAATTGCCTTATAATGCATTTTTTTTTAGTTTATTAATCAAAACATACAATTCCAAACGTGTTTAATATTTAAAGCATCTGACTTATTTACAGGTTTTACCTGTAGGCTGGTCATACTTTTGTTAAGTTCCTGGGTATACTTTTACATAAATAAGAAAGTAAATATACCTAAAATTTTCGTTGTCCAAAATATTATCAAGTGATGAAAATACAAATTTTCTAAACAACAGTAAACAGTGGCGTTCATTGGCAGTTTATCGCCCGTTAATGGCACAGATTTAGAAACGAATTAGGTGCTACATTTATTTTCCATTAATGTACTTTATTTATATTATGCTAAAAGCATAAATTACATCTGATTACTCAATAACATTAAGTCATACTAATTAAGATATAAGAATATATGGCATTACTCACGTGAGTACTCACTCAGACCCGCATCCCCAAAATATGTATATAGGTACGTACCTATATACATATTTTGGGGATGCGGGTCTGGATGCACAGAAAACCGCTGTTAAGTAATCTGTTCGTTGCTTTTCACCGAGTCAGTGAAGTAACCAGAACTCTACTCCACCCTCCCCCAATTTATAATAATAATAATTTCACACATGTCCAACACGGCCGTCTGATCCCAAAATAGGCAGGCAAAATAGCAGATGGGCAGCGAGACCGAAAAAATTCTAGACTTTTTCCCGATACGAGTACTTCAGTGTGAGCGTCGACGCGCACATCTTTTTCATATTTCACATATAATATATTAAACGTCTACCAAAAAATGAAAGGAACTTCGTTCTGACTGGGGCTATCATATACTCAGCGGCCTATACCTACTATGGTTACCAATCTACTCATAAACATACTTAAAAGATTCTAAATATATACAAATAACAGATAATATTATAGTTAATTTTTCACTCCAAGGTAGCCTTGTGACTCTAGACTCGCAGGTGTCTATGGCTGGCAGTAGTCATTTACCGTTAGACTCGTCTGCACGCTTGCTCCTTTTTATCTAAATAAAAGTCTCAGATAAGACTGGGGTTTCCAAGCGCTTACAATGCTTACATGCTTACAAGCCATAAAAACTTAATTATAACTTGGTAAGCTTTGTTTTACTAGTGTCCTTAAGTAGCATTTCTATTAAAATAATCACCTTTAAATATCACCAATTATATTAAATTTACTGCCCTGTGTGTAATAAATATACGTAGGTACTAATACTTGCGTATATTTATTACACTGATTACATGTTTCAATTTCATTCGTCGATCGATTATAGTAAAATTATGATATGTAGGTTTTAAACACACTATTCTGCAAAATATTAGGTGTTAATCGACCACTAACGAACCGCGGGATTCGTGTTACCGCATTGATATTGTTAATAGATATTTCAATATTATCAAGCGATTAACGTACACCTTTGAAGCTATGAATACAGTTTTTTTTTTTTTGTATATGAATGTTTAGTTCTAAAGTAAAAATTATAGTTATGAAAAGAGTTATGTGCGACACTTGGAAAAAAGCTAAAGAATCTTTGACCTCCACAAGCACGCACTTGTTGCCACGATCGCTAAAACTAGAAAAACTAGTAGTGGTAAGTTTAACGTTTTAGACGCAAACCTTTTGGTTTTATGACTACCTTTTAGCTCTAAGGTTGAATTTAGAGACTTGTAACACCTTTTTTTTTTTTTTTTTTTTTTTTCCGTGCGGAAATCCCCGCGGATACCACCTATCTGTGGCATGTCGGACTCGAACCGACTAAAACCGCACGCCTTCGCCGGGTACTAATAGCCGGGGAACCAGGTATACCCCAGAAAGGAAGTCCCTGGTGCCCCGACATACCTCGGGTCATCTACAGACGAGTAGACGACCCCCGCCCCGTGTGGGAACCCCATGTTCCCTGTGCTCCCTGGAAGCGAGCGCGCTTCGCAACGCGCTCGCCGCCACCCCGGCCTGCTTCTGCTAGGGTGACAGATGGCCTCACCTGTCACCCCCAGGCCTGCGCTTATGGAGGACGGAGGTCGTTCTGCGACCTCCGGCGCCTGAGTCGCCTGCGCTGCCTGGCCCGTGCCCGGGCCTGGCGGGCCGGGAGAGTTCTAAACCTCTCCCGGTCCCGCTCCGCCGTCTCCTTCGCGAGCATAACTTGCTCGCAGAAGGAGACGGCAGAGTTCCACGCACTCTCGCTCCGCTCGATAGCAATCAGGCTATCGAGCGAGAGAACTCCCACTCCGATGGCCGCCACGAGGTCTCGCCTCTGCTCAACCCACGCCGGGCTCTCTGCCAGCGTGTGAAGAGCCATGTCCACGGTCTGGCCATCGCAGTGGTGGCACTCAGGCGTTGGCTCCTTGCGGATCAGACACAGGTGACGAGCTGGTGCGTGTCGGGTGTTTACCTATGAACTGTCCAATAAAAAAAACATTTTTTTATTAGACAGTTACAAAAGCAATTAAACTAAACTATTATTACAGGTTAATCATATAAAGGTAATATAGTATAACTTTTATAACATGAGATTTCATTCAAACACAATTTAATTACAGTATGTTAAAGCAATTCTAAAAATAAGTACGAAAGCAACTGTAGAACGAGCTAGTCAATTTATCTCGCATCTAATCTACTGAGACGGCCCTTTCAGTTCCTCTGACGGCTTAAATAGAGCAAATTACAAGGTGGATATAGTGCAGCAAGATTAGAAGTAATTAAGAAACTATTAAATAAGCTACGGTCCGAGTAGGGTGTCTGTATTCATGGAAAGAGAGAGAGACACTTTCCTTACAATTATACGGCGGGATATGAAAGAAATATTGAATACTGCTATGTTTCAAGGAGTTAAAGTTGTTATTTTGTTCTTTTAAATTTCAGAAGAACCCAATATGTGTATAGTTTCTCATAATAACTTTAATTGTGTATTAATTAGAACATTATAGATGTGAAATTTAAGTTTTTTTTTTAAACAGTTCATTACGAAATGGTGCCTCTACTCCATGCCCTTGGGATATTTTATTATTCTTTATGATTAAAGTCTATATCAGGCTCTAAGTAGTATCTAATTTTAATGGCTTAATTTATCGTCTGATATAGAGGACGAATGAAGAATATAAAAAGGCTATGTCAATCGATTACTGCAGTTCAAAATTTCGATGCAAAGCTCAGTCATCCAGGTACTAAAATTAGAAGACTCAAAGTTTAAAGTTTTCTTAAACTTTTAGTGCATTGTTTTTAACATCAGAGAATAAATAAACAACATGGCCGCCCTATTCCTCTACGTAAAGGCAGACGACTGCAAACGGAATTGTAGTCGCTTTGTGCGTTTTCGTAATGTCTACGTACATATTGCTTGAATGTACAATTTGAAAGTCCATGTCCTTTGAATGCGCTTCGTAAATCCACTTACTAAGTGGTAGTTAAGAATTCCATTGAAACAGGCTTTATTTTACACGTTTGTTAAGAAATCATATTGTTTTAACACACTACAAACTACACTGCAAATATTAATTAATTTATTTTTATTTATTTTTAGCCGGTATTGTCCCACTGCAGGGCAAAGGCATCCCTCTCTCCCTTCCACATCTCTCTGTCGCGTGCTAGTTCGGACCAGTCTTTTCGGAAGCCGTCAAGATCGTCCCGCCATCGTCACCTGGGCCTACCACGTTGTCGTTTAGCGCCTTGTGAAACACAAGAGGTGCTAATTTTTGCCCATAGATCCGTCGGCATGCGGCAAACGTGTCCGACTCAATCCCATTTGAGTGCGGCTGTATTTATTATTCGGTCTGTAAGCTGTACGCCCAGAATACTATGCTCCATGGCTCGCTGGCAAACCTCCAGCGCGGACCTCTGCTGTCCAGTCAAAGACCAAGTTTGTGCACCATACGTGAGAATGAGAGGATGCACATGTCCATGAGCTTACGCTTATGATATAAGGGAAGGTAACCATTCAGGAAGTCCTTCATCGACCAATAGCTCTTCCAGGCATTTTCGAAGCGGCGCGAGACTTCTTTGTCCTGCCTTGCACACACTACACTTTTCCATCATTTGGTTTAGGCAATGGAGATGGTCAATGGCGGATAGGCTTCTCCGAAATCCAGCCTGTTCGGGGTTTTCTAAGGTTTTAATTAAAGTTTAGTTTAAATGAGAAAGTGGCAAAATTAATTAGGTAATGTTTTCGTTTAAATGATGGTATTGAATTAATGTGTTATATAAGGTGGAAGTATGGGCTGTCCAATTTTTAGTGCTTCTGTTGTTATGAAATCTCCGCCGGGGCTTTTGCCGTATTTTAATGACGGGGTGGAAAATCCCTTCGGATCTCCTGCTCCTGGGCTAGGAGCTAGGAGTATGTGGTGATTCCACTAAAAATCACCCCGACGTCCGGCCTCAGGTGCCCTACTCTGGGAGGACACGGACCATGTTATTTCAGGTCCTCCCCGAATTGACACCATGCCTAGTCAGGCCCTATCCCAGGGGAAAATCACTTCCCCCCTCAATCGCGATGTGGCGGCCTGATTGCATTAATTTCGTCTTAATGCAATCAGGCCGCCATCCTATCCCCTACCGCAACATTCAATCAGCGACCAGAGGTCCCCACTCTCTGGCGGCCCGCGGCCCCGTCGGCGGCTGGTATGGTCGCCGACGTCCTCTACGCTCGGGATCGGCCCTCTCCCGATCCCGTTCAGCGGTCTCTTTCTAGAGCATTACAGCTTCACAGAAAGAGACCACTGCGCCCCATCCCTCCTCACCCGCCAGCATGGCAGCAATGATTGCTGGCGGAGAGTGCACAGCGGACCTAGAACTTTATTATAAGAATATAGTGTATAAGTGGAGCTATAATGTATGTAGGAGCTTGGATGTTATCATTTGTTTGTGTATTAATAGGTATGATGTTATGAGGTACGCTATATAACTTTGCGTAGAAGTCTGTGCAGAACTTTAACACCTTCTCTTCCTCTCTGTGTACGATGTCCGAGTTATCCTGAGTAGTTTTGGTGGCAGATCGACTTGTTTCCCTACCCCTCATATCTATTTTTAAAGATTTGTTGTTTTCTAAAGCTACTTGTGCCAGATTATCATTGTAGTTACGTATATCTTTTCTAATATTTATCTTAACTATCCTGTCTAATGTCTTATACTCGTTCGACCAAAAACTCTTCATAATATTAATGTAAATTGTTTAGTTTAGGTATTTTGTTTTCAAATATAAAAACTTTCTTAAGTGAAACAATGGTTGTACTCACGTTAACTCACATTCACGTGTACATTTTGGAAAATTGTAAGAGAATCCTGACTTTGACTATTTTTATAGCTGAGGGAGAGAAAGAGATAACAATTATATGGAATTAATGAAGTAAAGAGTTTGTATTTTTAGGGTTCTCACCAGTCAGGTAAATATTTTACAGAACACTTGCACGTACATGAGGATTATATATTATTACGTCTATGAAGCTAGCTAGTTTTGAGGTTTTACTCACGGTTAATATTAATAGTAATTTAAATTTGCGATTAAATTGGCTTATGATGAGATTGGGCGTCTTGAGGGGTACAATTTCCATAATTTTTATTTTAATTGCTAGACAGACGTGTCTAAGAAAGACTCCCAAATTTTAATGGTATCTAGATCTTTTTGAAGTGTTTCCTGCGTTCTCGTAATTTAGATAATTTTATGAGGTAACCATTGTATACATCCAAAACCTTATTCACATACCACTGTAAAATAAAACTAGAAACACATACGGTCAGGATAGAGTACACCGCTTGCGCTGCTTATAAAAATAAATTGGCAAATCTGCCCATCAGCGTCCACATCCAATTTTACAAGTTTTGATTTCATATGATCAAGTCAGGCGATCCTGGCAACCCTACAGCCGAGAGTTGGGTAATATTACTTCACTTACACGACACAATTAGATTGAAACTTTAGACAAATTGCGCGTAAAATTGTGTCGTATGAAAGGGGTTTGTAATATTATTTTACTAAAGGGTAAGAACGTATAAAAACATAGTTGTTAATCAGAGCGGACTGTTTTGGTCGTAAGTTCTAGTTTAGTCGATCGATTGTAATCATTTATTTAACAGTAGTTAGTTTGTAGGTCAACTGGATGTATTGCCTAATTGTATAGTTTTAATAAGGTCGTGTGGAGGTTTTTTATTCGAAATTAATCTAAGTGCTAGTCACGCTGTTTCCATTAGTGATAAGGTTGATGTATGTATTTTTATTTTTAATGTGTTTCGTACCTTTCTTTCGTAAATCTGTTAAAATCTTTTCGTTTTATATTCATGCCAAGAAGATAAATGGATTTTTAGTCTATGTTGGTATGTAAGTTGTTTGCTATTAGTTTTTTTTTAATACTCGGTCAAAAGTTCTATCTGACACAAATGCTTACGCTTGCTTATGTATTGTGCTGAGTATTGGTACTGTGACAACTTACACACACAGTGAAAACAAAAAAACACTACAGAGCCATCTCACTAAGACACACGGTACTACGGAGTAACTGCTAATCCTATATCGCGATATGAAAAGTTCTTACGCCGATTAGCAGTTATAGAACTTCTGTTAGAAGTGGTCTGACACCACAGTCCCACAAGGAATTGGTGTTAAGCAATTCATACGCAGGTGTCTAGGGGTGGCTTCTTACCATTGGAGTTGTTACTTATCATCAAAAGGCCAAGTGTGAGTTTCTTCACATATAGTCGTCGTGACGGTGACCGCATTCGGCGCCGAATACGCTTGTTGATGTGATCGATGAGTTGATGTAAAATACACTCACACTTGGGGCTCAAGTGACTTCTTTGCTCGTTTGCCCACTATTTAAAAATAAATCTTTAATTTTTTATTTCACACCGCATCAACAGCCTTTAATAGTTCACTGCTGGACATAGGCCTCTCCTTGGCAAGAGGTTTTAATTCTTTACTTACTGACAATAAACTAATACTCGAATGTAATTTGATATTACTTTATTATTTATTTAATTTTAGAAACAACTTTTAGATGTAGTTTGAATTAGCGTTTCTGCACATCTTTTTAGTATATTTATATTACTATTAACACTTAATATTTTCTTAAAAAAATCCAGTTTAAACATATTTTCTTCAATATAGAAGCTATGTGTTGTTTTTTTTTTCTATTTTAACGCCAGTTCTTGAACTGTACATTCAACAACAGAGCTTTATAGAGATTTAAAAATATTACCTGATAACAAGAAACAATGCAGCACACTGCCTTGTACTTGACTGGGAACATAAAAGTACATGAGGCGTTCAAAACAAACGGTCTGAATATACGACACTGACTCGGTTTATCTACAAGACTTATTGCTGTCTCTATTCTTATCTGTACATTGAACAAAGAGAAAGATAGCTCTGTCAAATCTTCAGGTGTTTTATGTATTTATGTTTATGACTGTTGTGCGTTTGTGACACAGAGAGGGAATATTTTTCTACGGAAAAGTGTTTTTTGTGATGTATGGTTGTAAAAATAGATAAAAATGGAAATTTACAGTATGTTATTTTATTAAAGGCATCTTTTTATTCATAGTAATAAAAGCATTTCATTGTTTGAAATGTTTTAAATATTTTTAAGCAATCGCAATATTCAATTCAATTCTTTTTTAATGAAATATAATCATTACAGTGTACACCAAATCGCTTATATCTATACTACCCCTATACTAACTTTAACAGAAACAGGGGAAATAAGAAATAAACTACATACAGACTATTACAATTGTAAAACTCAGACCAATAAAAAGAAATAACATAAAATTTGTAAACAAAAACATCCTTACATAAACATAGGAACTATGAAATGACTCTAACATTTAGATAAATATAAAAATATGCTTTAAAATTATGCTTTGGGAGTCAAAAAACATATCTGCATCTGGACTACACTGAAGAAACTCATTGATAAGCGTGATTGCTATAGCAGTGGGGAGGTACTACGGACGCCACGCCACGCCACGCATATATTGGTCGGGAACATAAAAATGTATTGATTCCCGCACAACAGGACTATCTACAGTATCAGACAATAATGCATTATATGTGTAGATTCCCGCCTGAGTTGAAGTGTATTTAAACCCACCATTCCTGACACAAACATACAACTTACTTACATACTGACCCTTATACTCGTATAGGTATCTACAAAAGTTACGTAGAATTTTTACTTTTTTACTTCGCACATAGGTATTGTGTATTTGTATTATAACTTGAGTGTTTTTAAATTGTGATGATATTCTCATAATGAAACCAAGGCATTTAGCGTCTTTGCATGTTTTAAGTGTCTGGTCATGAAAATTTAATTTGCTATCCATTATTACACCCAAATCCTGGAATAAAGGGACACGTTCCATTGGTGCTTCAGCGAGATGATATGTATTTGTAATCGGATTACGGGATCGAGAAAAGTGATAGTTTTACATTTGAAATTATTAAATGATAATTTGTTTCTTTGACTCCACACAACTACAACGTCAATATTATGTTGTAGCGCTATACAATCCTAAGCTTCATTTACAGAAAGGCGTTTAATATAACGTCAGATTTAATATAGCATCAGACATTTTGCGTTTAATATAACATTAGGTAAATCATCGATCATTATCAGAAATTGGATAGGACCTAAGGTACCACCCTGACTGACCCCTAATCGAGTATAATACTCTTCCGATTTATATATTTCTACCTTAACAAATTGCTTACGATCTTTTCAATAATTGGCCATAAATTTTAAGCGATGAGTTAAAAACCCAATACAGAAAATTTGTTTAAAAGTACATCATTATCGACGAGATCAAAGGCTTTTTTTAAATCCAAGTATGCGGTGTCTACTTGACAGCCAGACTTAACTCTAGTACTTAAAGGTGGACTGCATTCCAGATTGCACTATCTCTCAAATTATTACCCTTTATTATTGGAACTACTAAAAAATAGTAGGTGACCTAATGGTCACCTACTATTTTTATTTAAGAAAATACCGCATTGAATTGGTGGAAAACTAGTTGCATCTACTTAGAAATACTTTCCACAATTAAAAGAAAATTTATGTTATTGCTGAATATGATTGCCAGCATTATGCGAACTGTAGATGTATAAAGTAAATAAAACTTTTTTATTAAAATGCTTTATTTCAGTAGTATGTCATTAAATTAAGTTTATGATTTAGTAAAATAATTGCCATTTGTTATTTACCACTTTAGGAAAATCATTTGACTAGTCAGTTTTTTTTTAATTAGATATGCTTCATCTTTGATGAAAATTATGAAAAAGACAAAATGGTACAAGTCTATCAAAGAGGAAACTTTTAAACCTATTTAAGCACGTCCTAGAATTGTAATTTTCTCGAAAAAGAGTCTCATATAGAAGCTACGAGCAATTATAAATGTGCACCTAGAACAGTAAAAACATTTTTACTGTAACAATAACAATAATAAAATTTAATGAAAAAAACAAAAAAAAGTTTATAACTCTTTCTGTAAAAACCTGTATAATGTATCTATAACATATACTTTTTACAAAATATACACATATTTTAATCTCGTAGCTGCTCGAAGAAAGGCATTACGAATGATTGGTAGGTCTGTCGAAAAGATCCCTTATCCCGCAATACAGAGATAGCCATTACACCGATCTCGGACCCCTTTTAATTTACGAGTTCAGTTTTACATCGAACAACAATTTAAAAAATGAATACTAAATAAATTGTCATTGAAGTTAAAAGGACTATGTCAAGGACGGATTCATCAAGCACACATCTCCTCTTTTTTCCATTTCTTTATTGTATTTTTTTAATACCATCATATTTATATAATTACTTATGCTTAAAAGAATAGATATAAAGATCGATAAATACTCTTCGTGAAAACAAAAATTGAAACATTATACAATTTTAAAACGTATTTTCGCTAATACGTTTTAAAATTAACAGTACAAATACAAATACGTAATGGTACAAAGGGCAGTCTTATCATAGTTTGCGATCTCTTACAGTCGTAAGTACGGGCCGCCAGAGAGTGGTGACCTCTGGTGGCAGATTGATTGCTGCGGTAGAGGATAGGATGGCGGCCTGATTGCAGTAAGACGCAATTGGGCCGCCACGTCACGTAGTCATGTTGGCAATTCGGGGAGGACCTGAAATAACATGGTCCAGG